CAACATGTAAAGATCCTCGACCTCACTGTTAATTAGCTACGTTTATATTAAAGTCACAATGAGATGCCACTTAAAACCCAGCCAACTGGCAAATTGTATATAACTTGTAACACCAAATCCTGGCAAAACAGGAATCTCCCTTACAGTCTGGGTCAGTGACACCCGGCAAGCTCTTTCCACCCAGAGTGCCTAGATGAGAACTGTAGCAGATGACTGTGATGGGCTCTTGCTGTGTGCACTCTTTGGGGGTCAGGTCCTCTAACCCCACAGAGCCAAGAGTTGTGGGGACAGGAAGAACAAAGCCCCCGGTGGGTCACCGAGAATGGTAAAAGCAACTAATCTTGTTTCCACCCCTTGCTTTCAAAACACGTGCGTTGTCTTCTGGGTGGCATGGCATGCCAGTGTCTTTGGGGTCTTTCGGGGAGGGCCTATCCTGTGTCCTGAAGGATGGTACACACCCTCAGAGTGCCATCTCTGAGTTGGTCTACCCCCGTGTCTTGGTGCTTTTTCCAGACAACAGCTTCTGGGTAGTGCACTGTATAGTGAATAGGTGGAACTGTGTCACGAGCCACAGATGTGTCCCCTATGCTACGAAGTCAGTCACCTGCTCTAACCTGATAGTATGTTGCCAGGCCCCTGAAGGCAGAAGAGGCAGACCCATTCCAGGAGTATCTGTCTCTTACGTGAACATACATGAGTTCTCTCACCCCTTGGCCCCTCGTGGTGGATCGATCCCCTTAAGAAATGGTGCTATGTAAGGTGCCTGGTGACCATCTCTGTTGCTATCGTATTGGGTGTTTAGTGGTGGCAGCAGCTAGATGAGACTTGGTGAGAGGGGGTCTAGGTTCTGGGCTCATGTAAAGCCTATTTCTTGCACATGGCCACATTGCTCCTGTGTCCATATTGCCAGTACTAGGGTGGCTGAAGAAGCTGGCCAAGGGATGTTGGCCTATTCTTTGTTGGCTAGTGCCTCTGTCATGGTGGGTGCACTCTGGTCAGCATTAATGTGTGGTACAAAGATCTTCACGCTGCAGACGCGCACTCCTTTGTATATCCTGGGTTCTTTGTTCCTGATCTTCTGGACTTTTTTGTTTCTGCCCTGACTAGTCAACCAAGCCATGTGTTACTGTCCACGAGCCCACGAGTGAACTAAATGTGGGCTACCTCTTCCACAGGTGGGTAACTGTGTGCTCCTCAAGGCTACCAATTGGGAGGGTTTTCCCTTACCACTGTCTTTCTTGGCCACTCCTAAGTGATCCCACAGTGTGGCTGTTAGGTACGTTTGACTCGCTCTCACATAATGAGCCATAAACAAAGCAAATCAAAACAAAACAAAACAAAACAAAAAGGCCTTTACCTTGTCCTTTAGCCGGTTTACAGAGTCCCCATACAGCCACAGGTATGGAGTGAGGGACTGTGTGGGCACACCCCAGTACATGCTGGGGAGGCTGGCTACCTGTTCACACAACCTGCTTATGCCCTCTGGCCCTGCTCACGTGTGATCCTGGGTATAACTTCTCTTCCATGATGGACTGTGACTGCACCCACTGGGCTCGCTCTCGATGGTCAATTTTAGCGCATAGTCCCCAGGGATTCCCCTGGGTGGTCATTCAGTGGTGAGCATCAGTCGTACCCACATCATGGTCTTGAAATGCCTTTTCCCATCTAAAGAACCAGCACAGGAAGTTGCCCTCTGAGGACAGGAGCAAGTTGAGGCACATCGTGATGCGGGTCAAGTAGCTTGCGTTCTTTAGCCGACAAATAAAAAGGAAAATAACTGAAGCGGGACTTGTCAATGGAAAGGACTTAAAAGTGCACCAAAATTTTAAAATAAAAAAAAACTAATATAATGCCAGAGATGGACTCTTAGATGATAAAAATATAAAGACACACAGGAAGGAATTACTATAAAAGTCAATAGGAGTTGCTTTGGGGAGGGTTGTGGATGGTGGTCACAAGATGTTTGCCTAATAGTGCTTTCAGAAATGTGTTTCAATAGGTTAAAATATGAGTATTTAAAATAATACAGTGAATACTGTATTTTATTTGATGACAAAACTCCTTTTGATTATTGAAAGTTACGAGGAATTCTTCCATAAATAAGCTTGTTTTCTTTGTTTAAACACACATGCTCTCACACTCAACCCCCAAATTGAATGCTCTGCCATACTGCAAGCCACAAGATAAGACACTGCTTCCAGGAGGAGTTGTTGTTCTGACAACCCCTGTCCTAAGTCAGTGCCTCTCCAGATACGTGTCCATTGATCTCACACCAGTTCTGTCAGCCACAGGTGGCACTTTGGAGGCCTTGGCCCAGTGGGAGTCTGGTTGTCCTCCCTGCAACAAGGCCATTTCTTGATCCCTACTAAACATTAAAAGAGGATGAACTGCTTTTTTACTTATAACTAATGTTTTGTTTGGTTCAGTCAAGAATATTTTAGGTTTTGACAAAACCCCCAGTGGAGCCTGAAACCGCAGATAGCAGTGAACATTATATATTCAGTACTTTCTGGCTTCTTGTTGGCGTATCTGAATTGCTGGCATTCCTAGCCTTGTACTTTGGGGCTATTAGTAAGGAGAATAGGGTTTCTTTTTTTTTAATATTTGCTTTTTAGTTGTAGTTGGACACATTACCTTTATTTTATTTATTTATATGTAGTGCTGAGGATCGAACCCAGGAGCTTGCACATGCTAGGCAAACGCTCTACTGCTGAGCTACAACCCCAGCCTAAGAATAGGGTTTCTTGAATATAAGTGCTGTGATACCACGACAGCCAATCAGATAACTGATATGGTTAATGAGTGACTAACAGGCAGGTAGTGCACGCCACGTGGATACGCTGAACCAAGGGATGATTCATGTGTCAGGTGGGAAAGAGGGGACAGTGACATTTCATCACACTACTCAGAATGGCAAGCAATTTAATTATTTATTTCTGGAGTTTTTCATTCAATATTTTCAGACCATAATTGTCTAAGGAGATTGAAATCTCAGAAAACAAAACTTAAGATAAGGTGTGTGTGTGTGTGTGTGTGTGTTGTGGGGGGAACTATGGTACCATGAAGAGAGATGGCCTGAACCATCAAGAGGCACCTGGGAGAATTGGAGACCAAGATCTGGTCGGCTGGCTACTGAAGCCTGTCATGTCCCTTGTATGTAGAATGTTAAAGATGTGACACTCTTTGGTACTGTTGTTATGAGTCATTGTGCAATATAAATATTTTATTCACCGAACCCCATGGACTCCTGAACATCAGGCGGGGTGCCTCCAGTGTGGCGCCTGCACGGCTCCTGCGTGGCTTTGAGGCTGCTGATGTCCAGTAGTGTCGAGCTCACTGTTTCCCTGTCCTCCAGAGGTTCTGTAGCACCAGTCCCTCATCCCAGGGAACAGCAAAGTAAAATTTGTGCTGAATCCTTTTGCCAGAGACAGGGGATACTCAATTTTAATACACACTCAGAAAACATTTATTTATAATCACTAGTAATAAATAATTCACTTGTAAACAGGAGAAGTGCTGTAGTAGTTTGTAACTCAAGTAATGTATATGCTTCTATTATTTCTTTGAATTTTTTTAAAAAAATATATACCTTTCATTTTTAAAGTGATAGAACTGTATCACAGAAAAACTTTAAAAATGAAAAAGTATTTCTCCATTCTCACCACTGTAATATTCTCATGGTTATAACTTCAGTACAATTCCTTCCAGTCTATTTTGGTGTGAATATTTTTATAGTTATAATAAAAACATGCATATAATTGTGTTTTTCCTTTTTAATTTAGCCTTAGATAATTATGATATAATCACATGCATATTTCCATGTTGCAACATTATCACAACAGTAATTTTTACTGCATTGAATTTAATTATTTGGCTCTATCATATTTTAAAACTATTAACCTATTTTTGGGTGGTAGATTTCCCCTCACATTTTAGCAAGTAGAATATTTTTGAATAATGTATAACTTCATGAACATCATATTATGGCTATTTATTGTTGCTTTGAATTTTTAAAATAGAATATTAAATGAGTGTCAAGAATGTCAGCAAACTAAATTTTCTTACAGCTCTGTCATTAAGTCTATCAAATCTGGCGATTGTGGAGTAGGAGGCATACATTAACTTACCAACTGTTGTTCATCTTAGTTACTTGTGAGTTTAAAAAGCTGAGTACAGTGTGAGTGAGGCATCTGTCTTGCTACTTCTAGAGATGGGCGTGTTACAGCAGTTGTACTGGGCAGTCCAGAAGCTTAGGGTAGAAATGGGAGTCCCTGTGTGTAACCCAAGGACATGATGCAGTAGCTGTGCTTGTGCTCCTGGGGCTGGGCCTGGTTCCACCAGGTGTTTGAGGAAGCTGTACCTGTTGGGAGAACATGATGCTCCCTGTTGAATGGAGTGGACTTTTGTGAGTGAGTTTGTGGTTGTTCCTTCCCTTCCTTCCCCCTGTCCCCCTCCATTTATTATATTCAGTAATAGAATTCAAAAGATTGGATATGTGGGTAATAAGTGATTTATCACATGCAAATTTACAGTGACTTTAAAAATTTTTAAAAACTGAGCACGTATGCAAAATGGTTCATTGGAAATACTGCATCAATCTATGTTGATTTTGTAAGTTTCTCCATTAAAATTAGCAATGTAGTGCTACACTTGTTTGTTAAAATATTTTAAAAATATGACCAGAAAGCTGTTCATTAAATGAATTTCTATTAATTTATGAATTGAGTATGGAAATATTCATAAAATAGTTATCCTTTTACTGTGTCATTGGGAAGGGTATAGATGACCTGATTCCATTAAAATCTAAGGCTTTGTGAGTTTTTGTACAGTGAAAACAGAGACATCTTTACAAACAACTTTAAATGAAATTATTTTTAAAGGTTAAAACCCCTCCTTCTTTACAAGACAAAGTCGAGCTCTGTGTCCTGGCCCATAGGCACTGCAGTGCACTGGGCACTCGCCTTGGAAGGGGATTAACCTGTACCTTCTGTTTTTTGTAGGAATGGGCTGTTTCTGGGGAGCCGAAAGGAAGTTCTGGATCCTGAAGGGAGTGTATTCGACTCAAGTGGGCTTCGCAGGAGGCTACACTCCCAACCCCACTTACAAGGAAGTCTGCTCAGGTAGGAGGACTGCGCTGTGTGTTACTAGGAGGGACAGGCCTGTCCCTGCTGGTGCACGAGAGCCTCTTCAGCATGGAAATAGCAGTTATGTTTAATATTTCCTTGGGCTTCCCTTTACCATCCCTGTGAATATACTTGTTTGATTCTTTTACATTTTTAGAAGATAACAAACTTCCTCTGGGAGGTATCATTTAGCCTTTGCTATTGGTCAACCACCCAGAGCCCAGTAGCTTCCAGCTTGCTGTGCCCTCTGGGCTGGGAGCACCAGGCTCTTTCTCCGGGGCTGCAGTCCACTGTGGGCTGCTGGGACTGGCCGCTCTTGGCCGAGTCTGGCAGTCGGTGCTATTGGCTGCCTAATGGGGATGGGGGTGTGGCACGCTGGACAGGGCTAATCCACACAGTGGTGGATGCAAGAACCCAGGAACAGCAGGAGGGCAGGAGCCCCGTTCTCTGACTGTGGCACACTTGCTGTTGTCCCACTGGCCAAAGCAAGTCCCATGGTCTAGCCCAGGGTCAGTGTGAGACAAGAGACCAGCCCAGGCAAGGTTCAGGGACACAGGGAAGTGAGGAGATCAGGGCAATCAGTGCAACGACCCCCCTCGTGGCTCAAATGGCTCAGGTGAAAGGCATGTTTTCTGGAGGGAAAATGGTGAAAAGCCACACTATCATGCAGGGATCCGCAAACCGCAGCTCTCAGCCCACGCCCGCTCCCTGTGTGATTATGTAAATAAGGTTTTGTTGAAACACAGCAGTGCCCAATTTTAAAAACATGTTATCTGTGAACACTTTCCTGCCACAATAGCAGGGTTGTGTGGTGACCACAGACACTGTATGGTCTGAAGAGCCCGAGATGTTTACTCTCCGGCCCTTTACAGGAGAGGGGGAAGAAAGGAAAAGAAAAATGTGCTTTTCTGCAGAGAAGAGGCAAATGCCCCCTTTGGAACATTCTAGTTCAGTGCCAGCTTACCTCTCTGGATTTGTTTCTGGCCTTTATGAATTCCCTTTTATTTCTTGCCAGCTCAGGAAGTATGAAGGCTCATTTTTTAACAGAATATTTTGTATCCTATCCCAACTGGGAAGGTCCAACTAGGTCTGCCGTCTGACACATTGACACAAATGGAATTTAAGAGTACACGAGCAGCTTTATCTTTTAAAGTAAGCATTGGTTTCAAAATTAAACCAATGCTTACGCAGAGCTATAAATAGATTCAGATGAACTGGGGAGATTGCCCAGGTGTATCCTCTCAAGTCTTAGGAATGAAAATGAATAGATTCCTTCCTGTGGTTCCAGGCATGACTTATCATCCTACGATGAAACTGTGGCTTAGAAAACCCCAGAATGTCCATTGCTTGTGCTGTTATCCTCATCTTGCAAAATGATGATGATCAGCCAGAATAGTGTGATTGATCGTTTGCTCAGACTCCCTCAGTTCACGTCTACCTTAGTGACACCATGACAGGTACAGTGAGTTGAACTCCTACTATGCGCCAGGCACTTTTTATGTCTTTCATTTTTCCAGACAGTTCTCCCATGAGGCCTGTTGATTTCCATCTTTTGCAGAGGGAGTGTTGAGGCTCAGGGAGGATAGGTTCCTCACCCAGGGTGCTCAGTGGCTGGAATTTCCACTTGGTTTGCTCTCAGCTCAAAGTTTACGCCATTGTCGTGGTGTAAATCTCCTGTCTGCTGCTCCGTGCCAGCCCTTCTCCATTCATCTCCACACACTGCCTGCACCAAGTCACAACCCCTCTTTCAGGTCTATCCCTCTTCTGCAGTTTTAGATATATTAATGTGTGTTTGAATGATCACTGTAGGAAAATACCAAAGAATTTTTTTGACCTTCTGATGTTTAGAAAGGAAATAACCAAACCCTTTAAGATCCAGTTCATGCAAATAGCTGGCATTAGAGGTCTGTGGTGATGGGTGGAGACGGGAACTGTGGAGGCTAGTAAAGTGTGATGCCAACACTCCTGCTAAGTTAGCGGTGGCTTCAGGAAGTGTGGTTGCCATGGAAACTTGCTCCTGATTGGAAAGAGGTACTTACTGGGTCTAACCCAGACATGAAAGGAGAGATGATTTCTTTCCCCTGAATTTGTTATTGTTATCCTGATCATAAAAGGGGTAGCAAGAGGCTGTGATAGTGGTTCCTCTGGCTCGGGATGGTAGAGGCTTCAAATCCCTGGGAATATCAGGGAAGGAGAAATAAAGTCCCCAGCTAGAGGAATTATGGTAACCATCTAATTACAGATTTCTGACTGAGGAGAGGAGTGCAGGAGACAAAAGTCAGGTGGCCTGTCAGGCCTTCCCCACCTCTGCCCCCTCATGCGCAAAGCCTTGCCCAATGTGTTGGGGAAACCAGACTCTGCTAAGGGGTGTAATAATTGCTGAGGTTCAGTGTGGGAGAAACTCTAGTCTGTCCCAGTACTTGCATCCATTTCAAAATTGCTTACTCTTGGGTTGGTCAAACTTTGATCACAACCTATGAATATTTTGTAAAGATTTTTGTTTTTGATTTTTACTTTTTCAAGAAAAGAACTATAAGGAGAAGAACTATTGTATGCAAATTCCTTCTCTATTGTGGCAGCACATTGGAGCCAAAGGTACCACTTGGTTTCTTGGGTCAGGAACCAGTTTATGGAAGGGGGCTGTCAAAGCCCCACCCTGATCTCTCAGGGGATGACAGATGTCAGAGCCTCCACGGTACTGTCGGCGTGCAGATCGGCGGCCCTGAGCCGAGGAGCCAGGGCTCCAGTTGGCCAGGCACCCTGCTCATGGGTGTGCACAGCCCAGCCGGCCTGGGTGAGCGCGTCTGCGAGCAGAAGCATGAGGTCAGCTAGCACGCCCTCACCTCCAGTGGTGTCTCCCTGTGAAGACTGAGGGGCCTGAGACCGTGAAACCCAAGATAGAGTCTCCATCAGGCACCTGGAAAAGATGTACAACTTCTAGGAACAGATGAGCGGGGGATGGCCCCAGCAGTGACACATGGTGAAGTTGACTGTTGTTTTAATTAGCTATTTTGCTGCTGTGACTAAAAGACCCACCAGAACAATTATAGAGAAGGAAAGTTTATTTGAGGGCTCATGGTTTCAGAGGTCTTAGTCCATGGAAGGCTGGCTCCATTCCTCAGGGCTCAAGGTGAGAAAGAACATCCTGGCGGAGGAGTGTGGCAGAGGGAAACAGCTCACATGCTGATCAGAAAGCAGAGAGACTCCACTAGCCAGATACAGATATATATACCCCATGGCCCCACCCCAGTTCCCACCTCCTCCAGCCATGCCCTACCACTTCAGTTACCACTCAGTTAATTCCATCAGGGATTAATTCACTGATTGGGTTAAGACTCTCATTTTTCCTCTGAACCATTTTGCATTGGCTCACATGCAAGCTTTTGGGGGACACCACATCTAAACCATGACAACTGTCATCTAAGCAAGATGCCTGTTGCATGTCGGGCACCTCCATCCACACATGTGCCTGGAGCCCGACGTAGGTGGAAGATATAAGGAGCTAACATTTCCTTATGTTCACAGTAATGTTGCCCATTGGGAGAGAGCATAAAGATGCTGCCCTGAATCAGAGTGGAGAGCTCCCCCGCTATGTGGGTGGGGGGACTCAGGAGGAGGTTGGTCAGCCCAGGGGAGGGTACGGAAGCCCCAGTGGCACCCTCTGGGATACTCTGGGAAGACGCATACCACCTGACATCATGACACTTTGAAATTATATCACTAACCTCTTGTTCTGATCCACTCTGTAGAATCTTCTATTTTTTTGTCTTCTGGTGGTGATTGTATACAGCAAGAAAATGCAATGAGAACAGATCAGTCAGGCAGACAGTTCTAATTCTCTTTCCAAATTCAATAAAATGTCACTCTGAGATGTATATCTCAGTCTATTGTGAGTTTAGTCTGCATGGGTCATTCTCTTCAAATTGGATTAACCTTGGGTGGAATTGAATGATAAACATGGAATTTGGGCTTTCAAAGCTGAGAGCCAAAGCCAGACCTCCATGATTTTCCAAAGGCTGTGATTGCCTCCTTGCATTTCCCTGGAGATTCCCCATCTCTCTAGTTGTCGATAATTTCATTGGAACCTGACTTATTTATTTCCCTACTTACTTACAAACCTGTTTTAAAAATGGCCATTCTCATGTAACAAGTGTGTAAGCTTGGTAAGCTTCCGTTCCTCGGATCTGTCAAATATGAGCCTGTAAGGCACAGGCTGAGAAATATTCCTCTCCAGGGTGTTTCAGGGCTGAGTTTGAAGCCTTCTGAAAGCCGGCTGCTGCCCTAAATCAGGCCCTGGCTTTGACCTGATGGAAGGTAGCCAGCAGACCTGCTTTCCAGGGGGCTTGTGACCTGTCTCTAGGAGACATGCTGAGAGGTCACAAGTCTTGGTGGCCACTGTTCTTCCCTGGAATGACTTGCAAGGATTAACGCATTCTCTTGTATTCCTATGAATAAGGTCTCTCCCTGGCACTCAGGAGTTCAGAACCTGGAGTGCGCAGCGCGAGAGCTTCACAGAGGTATTCCTTTTTTTTTAAAGAGGGAGAATTTTTTAATATTCATTTTTTAGTTTTCAGTGGACACAACATCTTTATTTTTATGTGGTGCTGAGGATCGAACCCAGCACCCCGCGCATGCCAGGCTAGCCCGCTACATCTTGAGCCACTTCCCCAGGCCCAACACAGAGGTATTCTTAAGTGAATGGCGCTGCCTCATGGGACTGCACCCGCGCAAGATGCCGTGTTATGAACTGATGTTGAGAGCACTGGTTCCTCCATCCAGGCTTCTTTCTCCAGAGTCAGACAGAAGCTTGGTTTTCCATGTTTGCTTTAAGGAGTTGCGCTGACCCTGGTTTCCTCTTCTCTCTCTCTCTCTCTCACACACACACACACACACACACACACACACACACGAGCTCCCTCAAATGGTTGTTATGCAAACCAACTGATAACTGGCATGCTGCTGCTTCACGGCACTGATTCTGGAAGTAATTGAGCTAT